ATTTTTACAATAAATGTATTACCATTAATAAGCGGAAAGAAATATTTTCTAGTTTAAGCGAAATTTCTTCCATGGATAAGTGATTTAATAAAAGTTTTTTGTACATCTATTTTAAAGAGCATTTAGCTGTTAGTGAAGTTATTGAAATATTGCTTTGATCTAGATGCCTTTCGGACATCAGAATGTTCAAGGGGAAAAACATATTTTGTCTTGTCGGCAAAACCTTCGGAAGAACCTAAAGAAACAATTAAAATCATATTTAATTTTGAAAGTTTTTATCTACGCAAAAGGGCAAAAACGAATACCATTTCAATAAAGGGGGAAAATATCCTTTAGCAGCTTCAGTCGAAAAGAGTACCAAGAGTACCAAATTTATGATTAAATTTATTCTTTCAAATAAACCATAAAGGGACTTAACTAAGTTTATTCCATTGTTAATAACTACAGAATACAGATATTTATAGAATTCCTAACGCATATGTCTACGAAGTAAAAATATCCGCAAATGTAACATTTACCGCCATTGCTAGATAGGGGAGTTTTACTAATTAGGTGAGCTTTTTGAGTGATTAATTTCTGATAAATATCGCTAACAGTGTATACAGTTAGTTTTATATATGTCCAAAATTTCAACATTTATTCAATATCGCAACGTTGAATGTTATATAATTCTATTGTTGAACGAAAAAAGGCAAAATATTTTGAATTGATGAAATTGCAATACACACACTATTTTCGACCTCTGCCAGTCATTCGGTCTAACGGAAATTCTTATAAAAAGTTGAACGAATTATCTTTAATTATGAATTATCAATAGTCTCTCTAATCTCTACGAGCAGATCGATTCGATTGAAGTATGCGTATGAAATTTGTAATGTTACATATTAGTGATGATGTGCGTGAATATTGAATCTTATTGCCACGCTTGGGTCCCGAAAAAAGTCTAACAACAACGGCCAAGTCCATAATTTTTATTAAGTTATTTTATTTACTTACGGTGTAGTTAATACTTATGCCATGTGATCCCAAAAAGGCTCTTTAAAAACTTCATATATAGCCTAATATACAAAATAGTAACGGGTATTAAATAATTGAAGGCATCTCGCAAATTTGGTTACGGCGTCTTTTTCTTTTTTTTTTTTTTGGAGGAAAAATTACTGAAATTTATTGTTTTTAATAAACTATCGCCAACGAATGTCATGATAAAGATGGCTGAGGGAAAAAGAAAAATACATAAAATATTTAAGGTCAAATGAAGTCGTTCAGGGGTGCCAAGTTTCTTCATCTTTACAAAATTCTTTTAACGTATGGGAAACTTCTTAATAAATCATTAATTCACTATTGCAGCCAGTTTGTCTAAAGTACAAGTGAAGCATTTCAAAGTCACAACGATGGCAATGCGTGCTCAAGGCCATAGGTTGTATTGTAGAACTATTGTCTATCTCAAAAACTCCGAAACCACCTTGCGTCTGCTTAATGGTGACAATTGCTCTTGTTCTAATAAACTGTGGTATTAGTAGTAGTAATTTTTGAGCAGATCAGGACTAGTTTCAAGTTCGATTTGAGAACTAGGAAAATATACCTTTGTGTATGCATTGTTATCACCTTAGCAATTTTAAAAGTTGCTTAGTAGTTAATTTCTCGCTGGACCTATTGGAAGAAGTTACGAAATCAAATTACGACAAATTGAAAAACTTCCAAATTGATATGATAAATGGAAGAAATGGAAATTTGTCGGTCACGAAGAGGATGACGCGAAAACCTTTATCATCCGTCGGCTAGTGTATTTGTAGATCCATTTTATATAAGCATGTTTAGAAAGCCGAGACAGCTATGCAAACGTAAATAAATGTAGAAAAATCTCTTCAAGATTCGGATCTGACCCGCCTATTATATATGCCTATTGCGAAAGCTGACTACAACGAAAATAGAAGGCTGTGAATCGATGGAAGAATTCGTGAATATTAGTATGGCAACAATTGGCATAATAACTGATGATAATAGGGATCGACATCTTTGGGACGAATATCTAATCTGCTGACCATGGGCCAGATGATCCTGGCACGGAATAAACAGCAATCGAGAAGCAAGCATTTTACTCTAGTGGGGAAGCCATACATTCGAAGAGACGGCAATCTAGAACAATCAGAAGAAGTGGAACAAACTTAGGTGTGGTTAGGTAGGTCACGATACCTGGAAACTCTATAGGACATATCAATAAAAGAGTCTAATTGGAAAAAAGAGATATGTTGTTGAATATGCTATATCCATATTTATACTTATTTATCATTAGTTACTGTCGATTTCAAGCTTTGTGAATTGTGGTCACATCACAATCATCGTCGATGCCAAGGGACGCAAAGTTACCATATCTAAGAACGACGTTATACTATAAAATATGAATATAAATGGTTTAGGCAAGTTGAACAAAGTTGAACAAAGCACACTGAAAATAGTAAGCAATGAAGAATTTCGATTACAACATATGACATTTTAAGCTTAAACGTCGTCGTGTTCCATATATGAAAAATGTAGATACGATTCCATAAAGTGAAAATGTTTGTGAAGTTTGCTTCAAACGAAAAATAAATCATTTATCATTTAAATGCAAAGACTGTGAAGATAAAGATCTACAATTTGTGGAATACTCTTGTGATTCAAAAACATACCGATTTTTGAATATATGAACATAAGTCGAAGTGCCGTTTTTCACCTATCTTCCCTATCAAGTTAAGATGTTTAAAAAACTGTCTTGATAACTAAGGAACAAGACGAAATTTTCTGTTCATATGATGAACTAATTTCGTTCAATAAAGCTGAAGAAGCAAACCCAATAATAGTTCCAAGAACTGCGCGAAAGTTCCTATAGGACAAATGGATGTTTTCAATGTTTTTTTTTTTTTTTTGTTTATAAAATGAGGCAATATAAAAAAGGACGTTTGGGTGTTTTAAACTCAGCTGCAGGAGTTAAATGAGTCAAGGCATGTCTGTTAATAATTGCGTTTATTGTTGACATCGGATTTTATTTTGTGCGTGAAAATTCCACGAATTAGCAAACCCTAATAGCTGTGAGTGCATCATAGGCGATATTTGCTGTACATCGAAAGCTGTGATGCAAACTTTTGCCAATCGCTGATGATGACATCAAAGAGATTGAAAAAGAATCCATGCCTTATAAGCCTATTGCAAGTTGCTTATATAAATCGCCCGGATATAATTCATACAAGAGAGTATCTGCATAAACTCAACAAGGAACGTGGAAGGACTCATTGCGTTGCTGTAAACAGAGCAGTTCCTTACATAGAAAGTACACTTAATTTTGAATGGATGTTTTTTCAAGATGCACACCGCTCAACAAATGAATTTGCAAATGCTGATTAGACTAATTGGACTCTTAATAGCAGACATTTTACAACTGGCTTTGTTCTAATTCTCTTTCCCATAAACGTTAGAAGAGGTAACTATTTAATTAAAAGCGGCATCTAGCATCAACAAATAAACATAAGAATTTAATGTTAACCAGCAATCTAAACTATTAAGGCCCAGATACAGAACTTTTTGTTAACGATGGACCTTTTTTACATCATCTGTTGTTGACTCGTTGAACTTACAAGAAGAAGAAGATGAAACATTAATTAACATTAGCGAAGACACAATGATTCTAAAATATTTTCACTCGATACTCTACGCTTACTCTACGTGCTATGATGTATATAATCTTGCCCAGCATGCATGAAACACCCATATAAATACGCTGGTACAAACAAACATACTTATTAGAATTAGGATAGCTTCTTTATAAACATTATAATTACCCATCCGTTTAACAATTAGTCAATGAGCATTGGCAAGTTAGCAAACGGGAAACCGAACGACAAGCCGCCTACATAAAGAGGTCATTAATATAACAGAAATGATTTAAGCATTTCTCAAACCAAATTAAAGGCAAATTATTGCAAATTAAGTTGCTTGCAATGTGACTTCAGCTTCACATACGTATATACATATCTGTGGGCGTGAATTGACACGTATCTAGTGACAAACTCGTCTATGAATATTCAAAACAACAAATTGATATGAAGTCAATTCTCATGGGTAACCGCGCATGTACATATAACAGCATAGGCATAAGGATGAAAAAAAGAAAAAAAAAAAAAACAAATAAAAAAAGAACAGGATAATATATATATACATATATATATATATCAGAATATTTCGTCACTTACCGCGACTCCAATGCAGAAATGCAAACTCTGAGAAGAAAAATGTGACAAATTTATACCAAGAAACGGAAAGTGGCGGAGACGAACACAAAATGCGATAATTTCATCCGAATATCATATCCTCACAGATACCAGCGAAGCTAAAATGAGATATTTTAGGTAATCATACATTAAGCTCTGAAAGTAACCAAAAAGACATTGGAAAAAATTATTTCTTTACGGCACAAGACATGGGCGAAAAGCACTGTAGAGTAACAAGCATGCAACAAGTAACAGTGTTCACCAGGACGTTGAAGAAAAAATTTATATATGCATATTACGTTCGTACTTGGGTGTAGACGTTGCCCACACATAATTGACACACTCATCCTAAAAATATAATTGTTTTTTTTTTGCAGCGTAGTCACAAATACCAACTTAATGCAACGATAAATTATTTTCAGTCATTCTTTAGTTCAAATAATAGTTATATTATAATAATAATAGTAAGAGGAAACGGAAAACCTCCGCAATATCTTTTAAATTTTTCCAAAAGCATTCATTAATATTTCGGTTACATTGGGCAGACAAATTTTATACGTTGCTTTAAAAGCTACTGTCAGTAAAAAGTGTTCAGTTAATTATCAAAATTAGGATGTAAATCAAAAAATAATTTAAGAAAATGTGCTTATAAAGGTTACGTGATTTGTATTTTTTCTTTCTTAATTTTAAATATTTGTTAATTTTTAAATAAATAAATAAATAAATAAATAAATAAAATCTTTTTTAATTTTGTAGCCTGAGTTGTAATGCGCCTTGGGGGTGGTGTACCATACGACGGCGACCCCCCGACAATGAGCGCTGCTGGCAACGACTATGCCGAATTATGTGATCTTGGACCTACGCGATGGAGCTCGCGTGGCTACTATCATGTACCACCACCCGCGCACAGTTCATCTTTGCATCCTAGCATACTGCAGCAGACCTCCACACATTCATCCTCTAGTGTGCCGACCGGCGGTTCGGCTGGTCTTACGGCTCATCATTTGCGTGCAACAACTAGCAGTTACGAAGCTGAAGATATTGCGGCCGCTACCTATGGCATGACAACACCACCGCCAGGTGTAAGTGGTTTAACAAATAGTTACGCTGTTAATTCACGTATCGGCAACAGTACCAACTCGTTACGAGCGGGTCGCTCTGGTTTATATTATTCACCACCTGGTACATCGTATACGATTATAGAACGACCGCATTCACCTCACTACTATTACAATTCGGCAGGCGTGGCAACAAAAGGAGGTTCATTACCAGGCCGTGGTTCTGCTTATCTATCGTCATCGCCCGCTAGTCATTTAGCCAATATGAGTGGCGCACTGCCTACCTCGACGGCAGCAAGATATGCGATATCCTCTGCCTCCGGTGTTAATGGTGGCAATAAAAAGCGACCTATATCACCAGAGCAGGTGTTACGTATGTTTGGTGCCACCCAATCGTCTTCAGTTCCTACCAGCAGTTACCATTATAGCAATGGCACACGTGACCGTACGGGGCGACGTAGTCCTGCCAGTAGTCCCCCTTCAACAACACATCAGGTACATTAAACACTAGAATCATACATTTTTATACTCACTGCCCTTCAAAAATTATTTTTCGCCATAATTTTTTCGTCATTTCGTCATTTGGGCCACCTTCGCCATCTATGGACACTTCGGCTCGTTAATATGCCAATTCGTCCCCTCCGTCCGTCTACATGTCTATATGTGTGTGTGTGTGTGTGTATTTATAACACAATTTCATTTTCTGAAAAATCGATCGATTTAATAGCGAAAATATTAGTTTGGGGAAAAAGAAATCCATTATTTTTATAAGAACTTCAGGACTTTATTTAACATGCTTCGGATTGTCCGATTTGGGTCAAATATGCACCGTTTTGTTGTACGATTTGTTGCCATTTTAAAGGTAACTTCAAAATGCCTCTCTCATAGAAGTCCTAGTCTCTATTTGCAAAAAACTCTAGTAGTCGATTTTCACAATCCTCCTTAGATTCCAATTTTTTATCATTAAAGAAATTTTGCAATGCAAGAAAAAGATGATAATCGCTTGGTGCCAAGTCCGGACTGTATGGCGGATGCATTAAAACTTCCCAACCAAGCTCCCGAAGTTTCTGGCGAATCACTGTAGATGTGTGTGGCCTAGCGTTGTCCTGGTGGAACACGATACCTCTCATGTTGGCCAATTCTGGCCGTTTCTGGTCAATCGCTATCTTCAAACGGTCCAGTTGTTGACAGTAGAGATCAGAATTTAGCGTTTGGCCATATGGAAGCAACTCATAATAAATAATTCCCTTACAGTCTCACCAAATGCATAGCAAAACCTTCCTGGCCGTTTGAGGTGCTTCACCGCTCTTTGACCACGATCGTTTTCGCACAGGGTTATCGTATGTGATCCATTTCTCATCTCCAGTCACCATCCGTTTAAGAAATGGGTCTATCTCATTCCGTTTGGCCAAGGCTTCGCAGATGGAAATTCGATCCATCATGTTTTTTTCTGTTAATTGGTGTGGCACCCAAACATCAAGCTTCTTTTTGAATCCAGCTTTGTGTAAATGGCTTAAAACTGTTTTATGGTCGATTTTTAGCTCCTGGGCGATGTTACGACTGCTAACATGCCGGTCAACTTCGATCATTTTTCCGATTTTATCGACATTTTCGACGACCGGCCTACCTGTGCGAGGTGCATCTTTAACATCAAAAATTCCTGAAAGGAATCTACGAAACCAAAATTGCACATAATTGGCTGTTACAGTATCGGAACCATAAACACTATTCACAATTTTAGCCGCCTGGCTTGCATTTTCGCCTTTGTCAAAGAAAAACTGTAAAATGTACCGAATTTTCTCTTTGTTCACTTCCATTTTTAACACGCTGTAACTCACAACTGAATGCACCAAACAAAAAACAGCAAAAGAATTTTTTTTTACTACGAAATGTACAGTATGTAAATGTACAGTATCGGAAATTGTTTGATCGATACCTAACGAGAAATCTATCAGTGCAGACATCTACCGAAAAAATAATGGATTTCTTTTTCCCCAAACTAATATTATTAATTGATGCAAAACTTGATAGTAGTCAAATATCTGAGCAATTCTGCATATGAATCGTGTATGCTTTTTTAATAAACAAATCTTATTTTACAAGTTGTTTGCTTTTTTATTCTGTTCTTGTTTAGATCTATCGCGATAGGGACAGAGATCGAAGCGTGCCCAATATACATGAGCTTTCTACGCGAACGGTAACTATGTCGCGTGATCAACACATTGATCATGGCTTCGGAATATGTGTCAAAGGAGGTAAAGACTCAGGTGAGTGCATAAAAATTTTTGTAACCAAAGCTCTATTATGCTTATATACGTAGTAATATTTCTGACCTAATTTAGAATTTATTCTTATCTTAATTCTAATTTGAATATTATCCAAGAAATAAAAAAGCCAAAAAAAAAAGTCATAAAATTTAAGCGTAGTTTTAAGAATGGTTTTTTAAATCCTTCTTTTCATTCTAAACGCTTGAGAACGCTTGAAAGCCTTCATCGTATTATGCATTTTATATGCCCTTGAATGTTGTTTCTGTACAAAATGAGGAAATGTATACAATTGTAACATGAAGAGTTTATTTCAAGTTCAATTGTTTGTTAATAACACTATAATTGAAAAGATGATTCATTCATATTCATTCACGAACACTTATGCACATACCCACATATACCTGCACGAATGTATTCTATTCAACATAAGATATTTTTGAAGCGTACATAATGACTCTTTTTTTTT